AATGAAAATCCACAAGACCCCCCCCCCCCCCCCCCCAATAAACATACACATATGTTAAGCATTAAAGGGTATGCATCTAGCTGTTCACTTAATAAACATTATGAAGTTAAATATTACAAATGCACACCCAGAGAACCCATTTACATATACAACACAAATGTATTGTTGGAAAATTCCCAGTGAACCATTGGAAAGAACAGTAAAAAAAAAAATCCCTAGCATTTATAAAAAAAAATTCCACCCTTATAGATCTTTGAATGCAGATTTGAATGTCCGAGAACCTTTAGTCTGAAACAAGGTTACCCAAACTGGGATTTGTACATCGATTTATCAATTATTAAAACATAAAATATTACATTTAATTAATTATTAATTTGAAAAAAACTATCAAAATAAAACAAAAAAATTAACATGCAAATGTAGGCCTATTGCTCAATTATTGAAATATAAACTTAAAATCTCAGAGTATAAATAATAAATAAAGTAAATATTTTAGGTCAAAGGGGTTCAGTTGACAAAAAAAATGTTTGGAAAACCCTGGTCTGGACAATATAAAAGAGAATACAAAAAACTGCCAATGCCTATATAAGAAACATCTCTTCTGAAGATAAATGAAAAGCAGCTTTGCAGCCAAACAGACCTGCTTCACACTGAACAGTCCATCTGCTACATCGGTCATAGAAACTAGAATACAAACTCTGTTTACTCTGACAGCTTAAAGGAACACTCCACTATTTTTGAAAATAGGCTAATTTTCCAACTCCCCTAGAGTTAAACAGTTGAGTTTTACCGTTTTCGAATCCATTAAGTCGATCTCCGGGTCTGGCAGTAGCACTTTTAGCTTAGCTTAGCATAGATCATTGAATCCGATTAGACCGTTAGCATCTCGCTCAAAAATGACCAAAGAGTTTCTATATTTTTCCTATTTAAAACTTGACTCTTCTGTAGTTACATATTGTACTAAGACCGACGGAAAATGAAAAGCTGCCATTTTCTAGGCTGATATGGCTAGGAACTATACTCTCATTCCGGCGTAATAATCAAGGAACTTTGCTGCCGTACTATGGGTGCAGCAGGCGCAATGATATTACGCAGTGCCTGAAAATAGGCTTATTGGAAGTTACCTAGCTGGGACTATTTTCAGGCGCTGCGTAATATCATTGCGCCTGCTACGGCAAATCAAGCAAAGTTCCTTGATTATTACACCGGAATGAGAGCACAGGTGCATCTCAATAAATTAGAATGTCATGGAAAAGTTCATTTATTTCAGTAATTCAACTCAAATTGTGAAACTCGTGTATTAAATAAATTCAATGCACACAGACTGAAGTAGTCATTGACAGAGTCTCTGGCTGCACACTATAACAAACATTCAAGTTCATGGCCAAAGCCTTTCTTACCAAAATGACTTGAGAGCGCAATTACTGAATCAGGCAGCGAAAAACATATTCAAAACATAACACTACATCTCAGAAGAACGTCAAATTGCAAACACAAGCATTGCAACAGTGCCAAACAAAGACAAGTCGAGCTAACAAATCTTGTTTTAGGCTTCAAACTGCCTTGGGCTGAACAACACAGAATGACTCTGTTTATAATACATGTAGAGAGTTGGTTATAAAAGCAGAAATGAGGGTGAAGGGCTTACTAATAGTTCACTCAAGGTGAATATGACTCCTGGAGATAGTGAATCTTTCCTTAACAGAATAATTTTGCCATTATTTACTCACCATCATGTAGTTCCAAACCTCTATTTCACTTCTGTAGATCAAAAGAGATTCGTTTTTGAAGAATATGCTGCAGGTCACTATTCAGTATAATGAAAGTGGACGGGACTGGGGCTGCCAAACGTCAAATTTAGAATAAAAGTACTATAATACAGCAGAATATAGCATGACTTATGAGCTATTTTTTATATAAGTCTTCTAAAGCCATATGGTGATTTTGTGTGATCAACAGACGGAAATCATTATTAATTTTTATTAACGTCAAAATGTAATCATTCATGTATCTGAGTATTTCATTTATATGTGAATTGTGATGTTAAATAAAGCCCCCAGAATACTGCAATATGTCAGCAGGAAACTTGCACAGACTTATATTCTCCTCTCATGCAGTTATGCAGCATTTTGACTGCATCACTTCTCCTTTAGCTGCAGGAAGCTTCCCTCTCACATAGTCAGAAATGCGCACTTAAACAAGCTGATAAAACACAAGTTGAGATGTTTACGAGCAGGTGCAATTGGGGTAAATGAGCAAAAATCTGTTAAAACCTGTTTCGTTGTAATTAATTTCCTCGATACAACAGTTAACAGCCTCTTGAAGGGTAAGATGTCAATAAACTACTTTAATTTCAGCATTTTCATCACAGTGTAAAATTAGTATCATACAGCCTCAGAAGACTTGGAATATAGCAAACAAATACTTTTTGATGCTTCTTCGGGGCTTTTGTGTTGTTTTTGAAGCTTGAAAGCTCCAATTACAGGCACTGTCATTGCAGTAAGAGCAATCTGTGTTCAACAGAAGAATGAAAGTCACACAGGTTTGAAACGACAAGAGGGTGAGTAAATGATGACAGAATGGGGCGGCGAAATATCACTTTAAAGGTGAAGTACGCACTTCATCTTTAAAGTGATATTTCGCCACACCATTCTGTCTCTCTCTGGGCCACTATAGTGAGTTTATGAAAATCTGACCTACCTGCTCAGGGTGACCTACCAGAAGTTTAAACTGTCATGTTTACTAGTACAACATGGGCAGCACAATTCTGCAGATAGAAAAGTATGGTTGTACTAACCCACAAGCCTCATTCTAAAATGTTAAAAGTTGTCTCGACATATTCATCTGAGAAAGTATTAGCATAAAAAATGTCACCTTTAAAGGGATAATTTACCCTAAAAAGAAAACCTGTCATCATTTGCTCACCCTCATGTCATTCCAAACCTGTACGACTTTCTTCTGTGGAACACAAAAGAATGATCATTCTGCTCTTTTCCATTCAGGAAGTGACTGGGGAACAGGGGCTGTCACGCTCCAGAAATAACAAAAAAGCACCACAAATGCATCATAAAGGAAGTCTATATAACTTGTGTACTATTTTCCAAGTCATCTGAAGCCATACGATAGCTTTTTGTGAGAAACAGACCTTCATTGTATGAAAAGACAAGCTTGGAAATTCTGATAATGACATTCCCATTTGTGTTCCATGGAAGAAAAAAGACATTAGGGTGAGTAATGACAGAACTTTCTTTTTCGGTTGAACTATCACTTTAAAAAACAGCCTTTATGTAATTGATGTGTAAGCTGGGTCACAGTGACCAGAAGTTTGTCCCATAACTGAAAGTGGCAGATGGTAAAAAAAAAAAAAAAAAAACACCTCTAAGTTAAACCTAAAAATCTCTATCATTTAACATTAAGCTACAATAGCTTATGAAACACAGTATACAATATACACACAATTAACACAACTGATATACAGTATATGGACAAAAAGTGCAATGTGTTCAGATGCAGTGTCTATACTTTAAAAAGAAATGCTACAAAAGGGGGGATCACAGCGATGCCATAAAAGAACCATTTTTGGTTCCCCAAAGAACCTTTCAGTGAACAAGGTCTTTTTCCACTATAAAGAACCTTTTTTGAATGGAAAGGATCCATTGACGTTAAAGGCTCTTCACAGAACCATAAGATGCCAACCTTTATTTACCCAAGAACCTTTATTTTTACAAGTGTATAACTTATATTTCCTTTTCATTGCCAATACAATGAGTTCTGCTGTAACACCTTAATGCCCTGCAGAATCCCACATGTAAACAGTAAGAATTGTGCCAGTGCTGACACCTGTACACACAGGTAAAAATGTCATTCTAACACACCCATTTTTACACACAGTCCTCCTGTTTGCAATCATTCCAACAGAGCTGCTCACCGAGGATATAATAGAATATACAGAATCAGAATTATTTTTTTGGATCCATAATAAACCAGAAACAGCAACATTATTAAAACAGTTTCTTTAAAAAGAAGTCATATCATCGGTTTAATAAAACTATGACAGACACTTGTCAGTTATCAAAATCAGACCACATAAATACACGATTACATTCTGCATGAGTGCATTAGTGTAAGTATATGTAACTCTGATCAGATGAAGACCCTAATCCTCCAGAATGACTCTTCTGCCCCCATAAACCTTTGTCCGCAGAGCCAATCTGAATACAGCATGAGAGACTGTGAACCAATGAAACAATTGCCTGTGGCAAGAAAGCCAATCAAATTACAGCATGCGTGGAAACTAGGCCAGAAGCCAAAGCAACAGAACAGTGACAACAGATGCCCCGATCCATACACACAAATAGGATATTATAATATACGACAAGCTTATGAATCCACATGTCACATATGCTAATTTATTGAAGCTCATCTGATGTATATGCACATGGAAATGTTGTAGTCTGAAGAGCACAATAAAAAGCTCCAAAACGTAAGGTCGGCCCTACTCTGGGAAATATTTCCCCCTTAAGTATCCTACCCCGTTTCACTGGACCGGGTCAGGAGTCAATGGGAACATTCTGAACTCCTGAACTGTTTGTGTTGGAACAAACATCATGATGGATTATTTAATATCTGATTGAAGTACACAAAATAACAGAGCACAGTCTCATGCGCACAGGGACGGCTGCAGATGTGGCCTAATAAGGGGAATCATCCTTCTCTGGGTCTCTCTGTTAGGAGGAATGATGCAATCTACATGAAACATAAACCACAAAACACAGACACCCTTCTGCACTCACTGGCCATGTGGCACCACTGTCTTCATGAACCGGGTCAAGTCTCCACTCATTACAGCAATGGTGTGGCATTCATCCGAAACGATTTTAAACTATTTTCCCATTCTTGTACAATTATTATAAAAGCGGGGTTTTCCTTTTTTGTAAGCAGCTTAAAAATGAGAAACTACATGGAATATTTGTACTTGTAAAAACATATTTCTCACATTGCAGGAATAAGAAATACAATTATCTCTCCTTGACGCCGTCCAAAAAGTGGAGCAGACTTCTGACCTCTATGGAAGGGGATTTCAAAATGGGGTCCACCTACCCCTAGGGAGACTTCTAGGGGGTCAGTGAAAAAAAAAATAGAGAAAATGTTTTTATACTAAATGCATTTTCACATAATGTTGTTCTACATCTATTTCTAAATTCTCACCTCTCCTTCTTCTCTGCAATGTACATGTGCTCAAAAATACTTTGCTCATAAGCTTTTCTGTAAAGCTGCTATGGAAAGATATTTATTATGCAAAGTTTTATACAAATACATTTGAATTATCATTAAAGATGTTTCTCTTATATACTTAATACAATAAAATATTTTGCAGATAATATTTCAATAATTTTGGCTTTAGTACAATGAAAAATAAAAGGAAATCATTTTGATCTTTTCAATATCACGCTTAAAGTTTTCTCACACAGTATAAACAGGTCTGTTTATACATAAGGCTATAAAGCTTCATTAAACATTCTATTTAAAACCTTAATCGTTTAGGAAGAGGGTCCCTCACAATGAGATCCTTATATTTGGGGGTCCTTGGAATAAAAGTTTGAAAATTCTGTTTTTATGACCATTGTGAATTCTGATTATTTGCTTGCTTGTACATTTATTTATTTACTTATTTGCTTGTACATTTCATATTCATCCCAATATGTGTGACCAGAAAACTTTGACAGGAGTATCTCATATCACATGGGCTTCTCATGTAATATCACAGAGTGAGAGAAATACACTGGGTGTTTGAAACTTCATGACCAAGCGCATTACTTGCAAAATGCACAACGAAGGAAAGCCAGAGGAATGTGCCAATGCTTTACACCTTCTTCACTTATAACTGATTTACGTGCTCTATATTCACAAAGGCGGTGGCCGTGTTATGAACAGCTCACTGGAATGGAGAACGGAAACGGAATATGAGAGGGAGAGAGAGCCCCTTTATACATCCCAACAGCAACGTATCAAAAGTGTGTTATAATGTCTTAAAATACACATTTCTGTCCACATCCAAGGTCACCGGAACCGCTCTGTCCGGTTCTGCAAACGTAAGCACGCGCTCACTTAAATCTGATGCATGTATCGAGCGCGCTGACCCGTTCATCTCTCCTTCTGTCGTTCACTTTCTCCCTCTCTGACCGGACAAACGGGCAACTACTCACCCTCCGATAGCTCCAGCTCGAGCTCTGCGAGCCGCGCGCGCACCTCCAGCGGCAGCGGTAACGAATCACGGTCTGCCATTGCGACTCCAACACATCCGAGCCTCGGTGCCTCGGTGCCTCTCTGTGTCTCCCGAGCACACGGTGTCAAACGTGTATTTCACGGTGCAAAAATAGACCGCATGAGTGTGAGCGCGGACGGACAGCGAGCAGACGCGTTACTGGAGACCGGTCATCACCGGTCGCGTTTTTTCGGTTTCGCTCGGCTTCCTTCTGATCCTAGATTGTAGTGGTGCACAGGAGAGAAGCTGCCAGTGTATCCACTGCGGTGCCACCGTGCCCGCCGCTGCCGTCTCGCTCACGTGACCTCGGTCTTCGTTCAAACGCAGTGGAGAGCGACAGTGCGCGCGCGCACCGGCTGTAACGGAAAGCGGCAGCTGTGTGAAGATACAACGACCTACAGTGCCATCTAACACACCCCGGGGGAATGAGGGGGGCACATCGGCGCTTTCTGCGTCACATTTTGAAGGATAATCTAATATGAAGATTCTCACCTTAAAAAAACAAAAAATATATATTCTCACCTATTTTACGAGATAATAGTGTAAGCAAGCGAATACAATTATAATTCACTAAATAAATACTAAATTGATTAAATATTTTTATTATCAAAAGAGAAAAGTATGCTACTTTATTCATGTTACACGTATTATGTTAATATTTTATATTCATAATTATTAGCTATTTGTTAGCCTATGGCAGGGTTATATATAATACAATTATATTATTATTATACAAATAATAATTTGTGGGATATAATATTTATTTTGTTCGAAATTATTTGACTAAATTCTTTATTAAAATGTTTAGAGTGGTTAGGATGCCTCCTGCTGGTGAGCGGTGGTATGAAAGCAAAGCAGTCAAATCCAAGAGCAAATCTTTTATAGCCAAAATGTGCATCTTTAAATCAGCTTGAAAAAGATTGTTTAATTTAAGCATGGATGCTGAAATTCATTATCATGTAATCTATAGCCTACATTAACATTTACAGATCTATTCAGATGGCACTGATCTTGTGTCTTTGTCTCTACGTACATGTTTCCCCCCATTTTTATGTTATTTTATTTTATTATTCAATTTATAGCTGCTGTGTCTTCCATTACTGGCCAAACTCTTTGTGTGTGCTAGCATAGTTGTTGAATAAAGCTCATACATTCTGATTCTATTGTTTTTCATTCTGCAAAACACCTCTGCATCTCTCATCTTTCTCATGTCTTGTATTTCCACTTTTCCAGTTGCTTAGATAGCTGTTACATTGTCAAAATCAAAAATCAAAAATGACTTAATGTGTTGCACAGGCTATGGAAATATGGTAAACATCTTCTGACATGGGTTCACTAAGGTCACTAAGGTTCTACTAAACAAGTTAACATCCATTTAAACCACAGCAAACCACATTATTTCCTTTCTCACCTATAGACCTTAGTCAGGGTTGACGCCATACTGAATTTTACAAAGGATGAAACCAAAGCTGGGAGGGATACACTTACAGTCTTTACAACGACTTGGACTGTATTATGGATTGTAAACTATTTTATGGAGTGCTTGTCTATTTTAATTTTACCAGTAAATGTGACAAAGGCACCCATGGAGATCTGTGGAAAGCTAAAATTAAACTTTTGAAGGCCTGTTTGATGAAAAGTAAGAGATGACTCTTCACTTATACAGTATCATGGTACGGATTTAGTAACAGTAACAGGACATTCAAAAATAAAGACAGTAAAATCACAACAAAACATGAGGGTTAAATAAGTACAATTGTAAATTATGCACAGATTAAAGTAAATGCTTAGATCAGAAATGACGCAAACACCTGAACGCAACAGTTTGACCAATCACAGCGACTCATTTACATATTCCCACCTCGACAGTTTCACTGGGAACAGTTCAAATTGTTTTAAACAGAATAATGTCATTAAATTGGAAAACATAGAAACAACATAGAAACCTAGAAACGTATTTTATATAATAATTGGCATGTGTTAAACAACTGAAAGCACTGTACTTCTATCCCTCGCAGCCTTATTTTCATTCAGGTCAAAAAATAAATGAGGCGCTACTACCCTGACTAAGGTCTATAGGGCATGCTTACAGCAAAATCACAAAGTAAAAGAAACAGTGGCTTTAACCTCTAAGTAAAGACAAATCCAACCAGGAGTTGGATCTATACTATTTTATTACCTGTGGTAAGCAAGTTATGCACATGTTCCAAGGCCTACCTAATACTCTTGAGAGAAACACACAACATAAAGCCAATAGCCGAGAACCAGACAGTAATAACCACCTCAGAGGAACCATACAACACTGCACACATATGCCTGTGGGACAGAAACACCACATCAGTTGATTAACTTTATATCTGGCAACAGCACTGCATTTGTACCAGTAAATGTGACAAAGGCACCCATGGAGATCTGTGGAAAGAGATGCCCTTCACTTATACAGTATCATGGTACGGATTTAGTAACAGTAACAGGACATTCAAAAATAAAGACAGTAAAATCACAACAAAACATGAGGGTTAAATAAGTACAATTGTAAATTATGCACAGATTAAAGTAAATGCTTAGATCAGAAATGACGCAAACACCTGAACGCAACAGTTTGACCAATCACAGCGACTTCATTTACATATTCCCACCTCGACAGTTTCACTGGGAACAGTTCAAATTGTTTTAAACAGAATAATGTCATTAAATTGGAAAACATAGAAACAACATAGAAACCTAGAAACGTATTTTATATAATTAACGTTTTATTCGTTAAGTTTTTTTTTCCTCCAACCACCAACGGAACGTGTGTCTCACTCGAGGGGCTACTTAAAGATGCGACTTAGACCATTCACTCTCAGTGCGGTGGGAAATTCACTGTAGAGGTTACAATCTGAGTGTTGATAGATCATCCAATCACTTCGGGGAAGGCGTGAGGCAAGAGCCAATCGCTGTCTTCACAAGACATCATCTGAACAGGTGAGCGCGTGCACAGGAAAGAGGGGTCAGAATGCGGTGTTCACGCACAAGGCGGTGGAACGCAGAATAGCGAACCAACTGATGCGAACCCCGTTGACTTGGAAACACTCGCGGCTGGCGCAATCAGTTCAATGTGTGAACTGGCACAAGGTGCTAGAACCCAATTCAGACTACTCTCCTACCACTCATTTTCTTTCATTTGGAAAATATATAACATATGTAATAGGGTGGAGGTAGGATTGGTAGTGGCTCTATATTAGGCTTGTTTAGTACTACAAATGTGTTGGACTACAAACCCCATAAGTCCAAGTACTATAAAGAAGAAATCAACCTTTTTGGCCTTCCTCTTTGTGGTACCATGTGCTAAGCAGGAGAAGCTGTGTGGCATGTTTCAAGGCTGTGTGACAGATGAAACGACGAGTTGCCTTGTGAACAGTATGGAAGTAAATTGTGGAGGTAAGGGTTGTGACTCTCATGGTTATAGTTAGTGTGTTTAGTTTTAACGTGTGCTTACTGGAGATATACTGACTGGTGCCTGGTGCCTTTATTCAATAACACAGGTATTGATTTTAATTGAATTATTGGAGTATGTGAAATTTGTTTTTAAGCTTTTCTATTGTAAGTTGTGTGTTATGTTTTGTGTTGTGTTTTTAATTCCAATATATTAAAGGGGCAATCATGAATTGTATTTTCTTTGTTTTTACAGATGACACATGATTGCCGTTTCCTTTTAATGAAAATATTGGTGGCTTGATGTTGGGTCGTAAGATATGACTTTAAATGTTACATTGTGATGAAGTAGCCGAGAACCAGACAGTAATAACCACCTCAGAGGAACCATACAACACTGCACACATATGCCTGTGGGACAGAAACACCACATCAGTTGATTAACTTTATATCTGGCAACAGCACTGCATTTGTACCAGTAAATGTGACAAAGGCACCCATGGAGATCTGTGGAAAGCTAAAATTAAACTTTTGAAGGCCTGTTTGATGAAAAGTAAGAGATGACTCTTCACTTATACAGTATCATGGTACGGATTTAGTAACAGTAACAGGACATTCAAAAATAAAGACAGTAAAATCACAACAAAACATGAGGGTTAAATAAGTACAATTGTAAATTATGCACAGATTAAAGTAAATGCTTAGATCAGAAATGACGCAAACACCTGAACGCAACAGTTTGACCAATCACAGCGACTCATTTACATATTCCCACCTCGACAGTTTCACTGGGAACAGTTCAAATTGTTTTAAACAGAATAATGTCATTAAATTGGAAAACATAGAAACAACATAGAAACCTAGAAACGTATTTTATATAATTAACGTTTTATTCGTTACGTTTTTTTTTTCTCCAACCACCAACGGAACGTGTGTCTCACTCGAGGGGCTACTTAAAGATGCGACTTAGAACATTCTCTCTCAGTGCGGTGGGAAGTTCACTGTAGAGGTTACAATCTGAGTGTTGATAGATCATCCAATCACTTCGGGGAAGGCGTGAGACAAGAGCCAATCGCTGTCTTCACAGGACATCATCTGAACAGGTGAGCGCGTGCACAGGAAAGAGGGGTCAGAATGCGGTGTTCACGCACAAGGCGGTGGTACGCAGAATAGCGAACCAACTGATGCGAACCCCGTTGACTTGGAAACACTCGCGGCTGGCGCAATCAGTTCAATGTGTGAACTGGCACAAGGTGCTAGAACCCAATTCAGACTACTCTCCTACCACTCCTTTTCTTTCATTTGGAAAATATATAACATATGTAATAGGGTGGAGGTAGGATTTCATTTACATATTCCCACCTCGACAGTTTCACTGGGAACAGTTCAAATTGTTTTAAACAGAATAATGTCATTAAATTGGAAAACATAGAAACAACATAGAAACCTAGAAACGTATTTTATATAATTAACGTTTTATTCGTTAAGTTTTTTTTTCCTCCAACCACCAACGGAACGTGTGTCTCACTCGAGGGGCTACTTAAAGATGCGACTTAGACCATTCACTCTCAGTGCGGTGGGAAATTCACTGTAGAGGTTACAATCTGAGTGTTGATAGATCATCCAATCACTTCGGGGAAGGCGTGAGGCAAGAGCCAATCGCTGTCTTCACAAGACATCATCTGAACAGGTGAGCGCGTGCACAGGAAAGAGGGGTCAGAATGCGGTGTTCACGCACAAGGCGGTGGAACGCAGAATAGCGAACCAACTGATGCGAACCCCGTTGACTTGGAAACACTCGCGGCTGGCGCAATCAGTTCAATGTGTGAACTGGCACAAGGTGCTAGAACCCAATTCAGACTACTCTCCTACCACTCATTTTCTTTCATTTGGAAAATATATAACATATGTAATAGGGTGGAGGTAGGATTGGTAGTGGCTCTATATTAGGCTTGTTTAGTACTACAAATGTGTTGGACTACAAACCCCATAAGTCCAAGTACTATAAAGAAGAAATCAACCTTTTTGGCCTTCCTCTTTGTGGTACCATGTGCTAAGCAGGAGAAGCTGTGTGGCATGTTTCAAGGCTGTGTGACAGATGAAACGACGAGTTGCCTTGTGAACAGTATGGAAGTAAATTGTGGAGGTAAGGGTTGTGACTCTCATGGTTATATTTAGTGTGTTTCGTTTTAACGTGTGCTTACTGGAGATATACTGACTGGTGCCTGGTGCCTTTATTCAATAACACAGGTATTGATTTTAATTGAATTATTGGAGTATGTGAAATTTGTTTTTAAGCTTTTCTATTGTAAGTTGTGTGTTATGTTTTGTGTTGTGTTTTTAATTCCAATATATTAAAGGGGCAATCATGAATTGTATTTTCTTTGTTTTTACAGATGACACATGATTGCCGTTTCCTTTTAATGAAAATATTGGTGGCTTGATGTTGGGTCGTAAGATATGACTTTAAATGTTACATTGTGATGAAGTAACTTGAATTTATTGTGTTTTTGGGGTTCCCATTTTCTTACACACGGTTGACTCTTGTTAAGGTGAGGGGGAGCAATTTGTAGTGGTTTGAGTCAAGTGAGTGTTGGGTTTTGACACTTGTAAGTGGTATTTGATTTTGTGCTGTGATTGAGTGTATTTTTTGCAGAGGAATTGCCATTCTATATGATTGGGGAACCCTATGGTCTGTAGTGGGTTTAACTTTTTTTCTTTTGTTTCTTTGCCGCTTCTAAATACCTTTTTGTGTTCAATAAATTTTGCTGTACTTGCAAGGAAACACACTGTAGTTGTTGCTCTTCTTTACATCTTCCCCATCACTTGTAAGGTCTGGGTTACACGTATAATAAGATACAGTGTTGGGAATGTTACTTTGAAAATGTAATAGGTTGCAGATTACAAGCTACCCTATATAAAACGTAGCCTAATAGTGTAACTATTTCAATTAATTTATTAAAGTAATGTATTGATTACTTTTCTACATGTCTAACGAATGTTTTCATCTAAATCATTTTGAAACTTTTAAACCAGGCAGGGTTAACCTTATAGTAGGACTCGACACTGATTACTGTCAGACTTTCAAAATCCTTTGTCACTTGAATTAAGATTATAATAATTTAATTTCAAGTTTAATAGCTATATTATACTGTTTTTAAAATCAAATCTTATCTTTGCATAGCGAAGACAGGCATCTAACAATGCTTTGGGAGAAAAAAGTTAGGCCTAATCTTAAAAAATGAAAGCATAAATGCATAAAACCAAAAAGGAAATAAAACCGTATTAAATAAACATGTCTCCTGTTCTGTGAACTGAACTCCTGAAACATTGGTGTCTCATATTTTAGAGCAGTCAATGCAATTCGGGAAAGAAATCAATCAAATCTGTAGCCTATGTGTGTGAAAATATTCAGATTTAACCCCCTTTGTAATCGTTAATGCTTTCATAAGTGTAATATAATTACACATTTTTCTCAGTAACTGTAACGGATTACAGTTAGCCTACATTTATTTTGTAGGCTAATTAAATTATGTAATTCCGTTACGTTACCCAACACTGAATATATATAATAAAATGTATATTCCCAATAAAATATAATAACCTTGAATTTGCCAAAAGAATAGAATATGGGTATCTTTTTTTTTTCTTTTGTATTTATTTATTTATTGTTTGTTTTTTATAAAACGCTATCAAGCATATCAACAATAGCTAGCCTTTTTGTACAAGTAAATAATTGAACTATATTGGAATTCAATTGCTTTCGTAATAATAATAAAATGGTAATGTCTAAATCACTTTAAATTGATCTATCACCGCTCTAAAGGCAAATGCCAAAATATATTTCATAGGCTATATTTAAGCTATTTAGCTTTAGATGGCACTGATGACAATTCCTTTACTGATAGAATAGCCTACTGGATGTTTAAAAATCCACTTGAAAATGAAGAAGTACCTGTAGGCTATCACACGCCCGTAAGATACTTTCAGAGTCTTTCTACTTATTTGTTTCATAGGTGTGACTTATTTCATTTCATATTAGGGATAATAGGCTATCAAATGACCACCGTTTTATCCAATCGGTATACGGTTACCATGGTAGGCTAAATCTCGGAAAGGGCAATAAGCGCAAAGAGCGCGTTGCTCCGGTGCGGGTGGCTCGCGGGTCCATCACAGAGCAGCCAGTTACCCAAACGACTTTCCCGTCAGAAACCGCTTCTCAACACTCACACACTCAACCGGTACATCTGATTCTTTTGTGAAGGTTGGCTGTGAGGTTATGCGTGTTTCGTGCCTTCACTGCTCGGTGTTCCAGCACCGCGCCCGGATGGAAATGTGTCTTCCGGGGAAAAGCTGCTTTCAGCCAACGAGACAGCGAGCACATCGCGCCGCACAGCCTGGACATCTGCAACTTTCAACAGAAGCGAGTGCCTTTCTGAGAACGCATGCGGTTTGAGACGCAGATCAATGGCCAGACCTATGCGTCCCAGAGGGGAGAAGAGCCGTGGAAAATCTGACAGAGGCCCGTAAGAACTCAAACCCCTAATTTTGCTATTTCATTCCCAGTGCCGTCATTCATGGATGTGCACGCAGAGGCGGGTCCGTTGCACGTGCAGACGGTGGATGAGCCACCGGGAGGCGCCACCGTTACCGCCGCCGCCGCAGAGTTTCAGGTCCAAACGGTGCTGGAGAGCGATGGCGAGCTCAGCGAGGATGACCTGCAGTCGGGCGCTGGAGCTCAAACACCGGCAGCGGGTGATCCGATCACAGAGATCGAGAGCGAGGAGGGTGCGCGGCCAGGGACGGACACACCGGCCGAGGACATCGTCGGGCAGCGCGCGGGGAAAACGGAAACGGTGGGCTCCAGTTGCAGCAGCGAGAGCTGCATCCCGACTCCAGGCTGTCGGATCTGCTTTCAAGGAGCCGAGCAGGTGAAGTCGGGCCGTTCATTCGTTCCGTCTGCGTTATTTACTGTCGGTCTATGTATATATGCGTCACACCGACGTCTTTGGTTGTTGCCAGGATTGTGCGCCATCCAGAATTGAGCCGAGCCTTTTACATTCTAATTCAATAAAAAATAAAATAAAAATAAAAATTACAATAAAATGTACATAACTGTAATAAGTTTTGCATAATTTATCATATATTGTATATTTCTAAATAAGTAGTGTTATATATTAAACAATTACAAATGTACCCAATATAGTAATTTGGTTTTTATGTTTAATCTTTTTCAATAAATTAAGTTTTGTGGAGCAGAAATTCATTTCCTCCAATGCTCTACCTGTGTTGAATTTATTTGAATTACAGGTTCAGTAAATTCTCGATTCAGTTTCAGCTTCCTGTTGGTTAATCAATCAATCAATCAATCAATCAATCACATTTTTAAAAATATATTTCCAAACAAACCAGTGCAGTTCAGAGTGTTTTTGACAGACAAAAGGTATAACTATAAACAAGTAACAGGTAACTATAAAATAAAATAAAATAAATAAATAAATAAAACAAAACTTGGGATATGAATAAAGAGAAAAATAATGATAAAAAAAACAGGTACTAAAATCATGAAAGAAATCATTCAATGTTATAAGACATTACAAGAAAGCCAGGCTAAAAAGTAATTTTGATTTAAAACTCTAAATATTTTCTGCACGTCTCATACGCTCCAGAAGCTTGTTGCAGCAGCATGGAGTATAATGGCTGAAAGCAGCATCACCAAATCTTTGATTTCTATACTTTGTGATTCAGTTAAAACAGAAGAATTGGAGAACCTGAGAGTCCTTTTTGAGATAAAGTCTGGTGCGAGGCCAGTAATCGAATTCTAAATTTGGTTGTCCCATCCTGATGTTGGTCCTACGTCAGTCAAAGCAGTTCATAAATCCAGCTGTGTTAGGACAGTCTGAGAAATATAAACCTTGTAAACACCTTTTACATTTATTATAGGCCTACATAATTAATGCAATTATTAGAATATCGGAAACCTCAATGATTCTTAATGCTTTAAACAGACAGTGTGGTGTGTGTGTGTGTGTGTGTGTGAGAGAAATGGTGAGATCCATTAGAATACCTGCTGTACCATTCATGTCTAATGCTCTTCACTTCCTGCAGCTAATGTGCTTCCTTGAGGCGCCTTGTGTTTGTGCGTCTGTAAGTGTGTGTGTGAAATGTGTTCCACTCTTTCAGACTCATTATAGTTCTAAATGAGGATGTTTCTGAAGTTATTCATGAATGCACAGATGAATCATTTCCCGTCCACTCAGAGATGAATCTCTATGTGTATAGTGTTTCATTCACTCCAAATGTTCTCCTCATTTGGACGAAACAGCTCATCTGCCCCATTGTTCAAGGTTCCACAACCTCAACGCTCAACTCATCTGCAAATGCGTACAATAAAACAATCATACAGCAGTGAATCATCAGCTCAACTGAATCGGTCTTTTATCTTTTTTGTTTTTTGATTGCCTTATAGACATGTCGGTGTGTGTGTTGTGATTGGTTGTAGGGGGAGCTGCTGAGCCCGTGCCGTTGTGCCGGATCTGTCCGACATGCTCATCAGCAGTGTCTGCTCAAGTGGATCAGTGAGAAGGGCTCCTGGAGCTGTGAACTCTGCAACTATAGATTCAACATCCTGCCTATACATATCAAACCACCACAACAGGTAAACAAACACACACACACTGAGATATATGATATATCGGTCAGGGCTTTGGACTAAGAACATGACTCTAAAAATGAAGCATTTGAACATTTCACTTACTGAATAGGTCAAGTCCCGTTCACCAAAAATGATAAAAGATAACTGTACCGATAACTATATTAGTGTCCATACCAACAGACTCTAGTGTTCTGTTTATTATAGGCTTGCAATGCAGTTTTGTCTGCTGCTTTAAATGCTCAAGCTCTTTAAATTCGGGTGAATTGTTTCTGAACGGCTGTCAATGTTTTTATCATTCATCAGCAGGAAAAAAAGTGATTCTAAAATGATTCCCATAACATTGCTACTAGGTTTCGGTATCGTTATAGTCGTAGTTTGGCAATTTTGTTTTGACTGACTCAATAAAATTAACTTGATCAGAGTAATTTGTTTGCAAATCGGACACCACAGCTTGTGCTTTGTTGTTGTTTTTGACTGTCACCCATGGTGACTGGATTTTAAATTAAAAACAGCATTTTTATCGCATTTGTGATCATATTAAGGCTGTAATGCATTTCATGACTCAGTCGTTTAGTGTTTTTCTCTGTGACCATTTACAAAGTGTATGATGCCAGGTGTTTTAAAATCTGGTCATTTGAAGTCATGTAGTGTACTTTAGCGTTTAGTCTCAGTCTGTGGCACGAATTGGTGACTGTGTTTGTATGTTTTACCAGTGGCAGACTGTCACCATGACTCTGGTGGAGAAAGTTCAGGTTATTGCAGTGTTGCTGGGTGGCATCTTTCTGTTGGCCAGTGTATCATGGCTGCTGTGGTCAGCACTGAGCCCAGAGGCACTATGGCAACGCAGTGACATCCTGTTCCAGATCTGTTACGGCATGTATGCAGTCATGGACCTTGTGTGTATCGGTGAGACACATTTATGCACTCAAACCACATTAGTCCTATACAATGCAATTTTCTCAAGCTAATATGTATATTTTGCGGGTACTAGGGTTTAACTATGGCTGACAAATCTTAAAATACCCTGTAAAGTAGGGCTGGGTCGACAATATCAATGAATTGATTTTAAAGGGGTCATATGATGCGATTTCAAGTTTTCCTTTCTCTTTGGAGTGTTACAAGCTGATTGTGCATAGATAAGATCCCTGAAGTTGCTAAGACTAAAGTCTCAATCCCAAAGAGATATTCTTTATCAAAGTTAAGACTCTGCCACGCCTCCCTAAAACGGCTCGTTCTAACACGCCCCCACATATCTACCTCACTATGTGGAAATATTTGCATAATGCGCCCAAATGTGCACGCAAAGAAAGAAGGCGTGGTTTCAGTAACCGCAGTTAGTGTTGAAGCAGCATGTCAGGGAGACGCTGTGTGTTTCACTGCGAAAGCAAAGCACTTTATTTGGCCTTCCGAAAGTAGATGCATTTAGGAATCTTTAAGATGACTTACAACAGAACAGCAATGCATTTTATGGACGACCGTTTCGTGAACCTAGGAGAGGAGGTCATTCTGACTTTGCTATGACAATCTGGTATTTGCTATTGACTGTTCAAATGCGGAGCTTTGCGCATTGTGTGTGTGCGCTCGCGAGAGAGAGGGAGGGTCACAACCGTCTTAACCATGACTTGTGTACTGCAAACACATACCAGCTTCATCACTGTGTCTGTCACACGACTCTGTTCCCCTTTCGGGCTCTGTCTTTACATTTATTTTGAAAGATGAAGCTCGCGATTATGGTAAGGGGCGTTACATTTCAGGCGCTTGCTTGTGGTGTTCGGCCAATCACAATGCACTGGGTCAGCTGGCCAATCAGAGCAGACTGCGCTTGTCGGAAGGAGGGACTTTGTAGAAAACGAAGCGTTTGAGAGAGGCGGGGCATAGAGGACCTACAATAATGTACAGTATTTGAAAAATAATGTGTTTTTTGAACATTAAAGCATGTCAACATATTCTGATACACCAAATACACCAAATAATGATCTTTCAAAAAGCATCATATGACCCCTTTAATCAATCTTCATTTCGATGAACTGAAGTCGATTCTTAAATCCCAAAATTGATCTTCACAGATAGCACGTACGTCTGCAAGATTTCTGGTAAAGATAGCTTGATCTGGAAAGCACATGCTATGTACAAACATCTGATTAGATTTTTTACCTTAAGAAAAATGTATATGTATTCTACTATATACATACAAAGAAATAAATCAATATCAAATTGAATTTAAAAGTTGAATCATGAAATCTATTTCAATACCCAGCCCTACTAAAAGTGTGTTTACATGTGCAAATAATACGTTTGTGTTTCAGGTCTGATTGTTCATGAAGGTGGTGCTGTGTACAATGTGCTGATGCGCTGGCGAGCTGTTAATCTCTTCTGGGACGTCCAGAACTACGATAAAAGCCGAGACCTGGAGAACATACACAGCCCGCACCGTAACCTGTGGCTGCCTCTCACACACACACATACAGTCTCCAACACACACTCACAAACCACCCGACTGGAGTCATCGCCTCGATGCCCCCTTCGCCTCCTCTCCATGTGCCTGAACGTGACCTCTGACCTCTCCCCGCAGGAGCAAGACTCAGGCGAGCTGGTCGTTAGGGTCACGTCAGTTTGACACCAAATTAAAGTCATTTAGGGAGCAATCAAACCTTTGTGGGAGTGGCTAACTAGTGGGAGGAGCCTCAGTGTTGGGAGGAGCCTTACTAGAAAACCACTTTAGAAGATACACAAACTGAATTGAATACAGAATTATGTTGTACTGCAAACTGAACAGGTGTTTCCAGCCTGAAGTTCAGCCTTTGAGAATCAAAGTAAGACTGCAAAGCTCTCCGCACAAACACAGACTTATAACGAAATTATAATGCACACAAAATGTATTACTGCTGTTAGATGAATGAATTAACTGTTTTTATGTTCAGGTTTTTAATAATTTCAGTACTGATAAACTACAGCTTATCACAGCTTCTGTTCATTATGCTTCATCTGCCATAATGTAGAGGTACCACAGTTACAGGCCTTTTCACATTAAGCTGCATTTCCACTATCTCAGACTCAGACATACGCGTGCGATCGTTACATTTTGCCCCTTGTGGCAGCCGCATGGTATTTTCAAATTGGTTGTGAAGCAGCAGTTACCCTTTGCTTATTCACCATGGTAAAAAAAAATAAATGAATGCATATCCATACAAAACAAATGAGCACCGATAACGACAACGCTGCTGCAAACATTGATTTCACAAGTAGGTAGTATAGAAAATTTGCAAAGGGGTAGCAAAAGTCATTGAGAAAATGTAAAAAAAATTTAATACCAAAAAATTATTTAGGTTTATGAATCTAGCAGACACTTTTATCCAAAGAGACTTACAATGGCAGAGCATAAGCAATTTGTCATAGAGCCAATAATATTGACATATGGCAGGTTTATTAGAACGCTAGATTAGGAAACAAGCTAAAGCAGAGGTGAAATGCTATGGAAGCCTGTTTCCGTCACAGAATAAAAAATGAAAATATTAATTGCGACTTTTTGTCTCACAGTTCAGAATTGCGAGACAAACCCAGAATTCACTTTTTCTTCTTCTCGCAGTACTGAGTTTTCCCTCTGAATTCTGAGTTTACGTCTCGCACTTCTGTTTTTTGTTTCCACCACGGAATAAAAAATAAAAAGGTATTGCAACATGTCGCAATTCTGATATTTAACTTTCAAATTACAAATTTACATCTCCCAATTCAGACTTTTGTTCTCAGAATTGCGAGTTTATCTATCACAATTCTCAGTTCATATCTCGCAATTCTGATGAAAAAAAAAATTAAAGAATTGTAAGATATAAACTCAGGATTGCAAGAAAAAGGGTCTGAATTGTGAGTTGCAATTACCTTTTTGGGCTTCCATAAAATGAAGAGAAGAAGAAAAATGAATGTTTGGAAATGTCAGTAGTGTTCGTCTGTGTAAAACTTGCCACCACAATGGGTATTGTGGGTGGTTGGACAGGGCGGTCTCATGTGCTCTAGATGCAAAAGTTAAAAAATTTCAACATGTCCAAAGCTCAAACTGGATCTGAATATTCTGCATACAGTCAGAATGCCACACAGCTCCTGTACTACTCGACATTGAAAACGAAAGACTTCTAGTGGAGAAACTCAAAGGATTGCAAAAGTTGAACAAACATTAACTTTTGCTGCAGTGGATTCTGTTGTAAGCATCCGTGTCAATTTATTCTATTCCCACCTGATTTTAAATGACCCTCAGAAAGATCTTACACACTGTCATCTGTCAATGCTTAAGTGCCCTACATCTCATGTTGCATATATTACAGCAAAAAAACTACCTGACTTTGGACTATTAGTCTAGACTCAAACAAAATTCATGAAGAAATGGAGTTGGTGGTTAGATATTGTGATGGTGGTAAGCATTTTAACCATTGTGCCCTTAAGATACCAAGCCCTGGATGAGCGATTTCAGAAGCTTACTAAGACCGATATAAATGTAATAGAAAGTGTTAGGAGTGAAATAATTACAAATATTTGTAACATTGTAAGCACATTAAAAATCTTCCTAAGCAGCTCAAGTCTACACCGAAAATGCAAATCACAGGAATACTAAAAAGTTCACTAATTCCATCTGGGCACATTGCGATTCTGTCCTAGAAACTTGACCAGCGTTCCAGTGTTCATGCTAGCTGATTAGCATAGCCTACAAAAGATTTCATTCAGATGTCCCAGAGATGTAAAAAGTGTTAAATGAGAAGTTCTTCTGTCAGAGAAACCCGTTCTGCACTGCACAGAGCAAACGAGGATGAACATTGTAATGAATGTAAGTCTTTGAATTTTGTTATATTTATTGCCTATAAACGAATGTACAGTAAAGATACAAAATGAGAAAGATTTTCCTGTTGTTTTAGTGTTTTTACAGGCTTACAGTAGAAAAATAACAGGACCAGAGGGAGTAAATCCAATAGTATCATCACAATCCTGCAGTTCAACAGAAAAGGTTTATAAAATATACAGCTCCTCAGAAATATATAACATACATTATAAACATTGCACATATAAAACAGACGTAAAGGGCACTCTGTGTGTGTTTGCACATGTGTGTATATTTCTGTGTGTGTTTTTTAAAGGCACTGGATTTGAGTGCTGGTTATTTTGGACTGGACTTTCTGCCTGCAGAATTCCAAAGAAATGCAACTGGACTGGACTTAAAATGTTAATACAATGTAAAATATGGGGCTCAGTGAACATACGTGTATGTGTGGCACAGTTTCAAGCACAACAACTCAATGTGTGTCTGTGGGAACATGGTAGTGTCTGTCGTGAAAGTGTCTCATGATATTGTCTTTGGTTTTTTGCACTCAGCATTGAAGGGTCACTCTTTTTTGTGAATTTGTAATTAAACTGTCCGATTTGCTGACGCTTAACCTCAAAAAAAGCACATTTATTTGAAGTGTTTGTCGACGTGTATGTGTGGCACAGTTTCAAGCACAACAACTCAATGTGTGTCTGTGGGAACATGGTAGTGTCTGTCGTGAAAGTGTCTCATGATATTGTCTTTGGTTTTTTGCAGTCAGCATTGAAGGGTCACTCTTTTTTGTGAATTTGTAATTAAACTGTCTGATTTGCTGACGCTTAACCTCAAAAAAAGCACATTTATTTGAAGTGTTTGTCAGGACTGAGAGATCACCAGTTGCTGCCGTGGCTGCTGATGGATTGACAAGTGCTGAAACGTTTCTTCACTATTAGACTGATGTACGCCTTCATAAGCTTTGCAATGTCCATCACCTACAGAGACAAACACAAAGGAATGCAGTGTTATTTTAGCATAATTTATATACTGTTATAGTTTTTATGAATGTTTAGAATGTTTTAATTTTTATATATATAGATTTAATTTATTTTTATTGTCATTTAGTTGTTTTTATAATTTATTTTTTTATATATATATTTATTTTATAGTTAATTTATGTTAAACTGAACAAAAGTGAGAAATGTTGCTCTTGCAACTATCTAAAATAAAATGTTACATTTATGTACTTTATTTCAGTCAATGTCTGTTTTATTTAACAGATTTTTTATAAACACATTTTAAAAAATAATAATTTAACAATGTTTTTATGGTTTTAGTTAAAAATAATCCTGAAAGAAACATGAACATTCAGGCCTTCATAATGACCAAAAAATAAACAAACAAACAGATAAATAAAATAAAACAATTACTTTTTAAAAATATTTTCTGAAGTAACTGAGGAGTGTTCTCCTGTGTAAAACTTGGGTGTTATGGGTAGTTACTAATCGGCAATGGTGGACACTGACAAAGCATTATTAGTCTATTACTGAACATTTTTCAAGTATTTGTATAATTTTTATTTTGGGAAACACTTCTTATTTTTATTCGACTACATAAAAAAAATGCCATTCCATCACTCTGAGACATGATAGTGTTGTCTGATTCATGATGAATAATTTTTGAGCAGATTTTATTATTATTTTTCAATGAACCCGTTAAACTGATCTTACAAACCGCCCCTGAATGATTCCTTCACGAATGGACTGATTTTAGCTGCAATTCCCGAGCTAAAAACTCACTGATGAGTAGATTGATTCGGTTGGAGTGAGTATCAAATTAATTCACTGAATAGGTCATTTCCATCTAAAATGATCCACAGTGGAAGTTTGTGGAAGATTTGACCGATGAGGCAACAAGTTAATATAAATAACTAATTTTAGGGTTGTTTGCTGTGGAAGCATGCAAGTAAATATGGAAAGTTTGTACCATGTTGGTGTTGAAGAGCAGCTCTCGTCCCTCCACGCTGATCTTGTAGATGTTTGGCTGCGGTGCACCAAAGGACAGAATGACCTCGTAGGGAAATAGCTCCAGAGGCCACGCCTCCCCACGCTTGTACAAACACACCCCCTTACGACTCACGCCCAACCACAGCTCTCCAGGATACACACCGTCTACACACTGACGAACAGAGAGAACTTGTTCAGCGACACTGCTTTGCTGATGGATCATGTGTGTGTGTGTGTGTGTGTGTGTGTGCTCACCTCCACATCAAACAGTGTTGATCCATATCCCTGCCACTCCTTGATGAGACTCATGTATTTTTTCATGGCTTGGTCCTGTTCCATCCCCTGCAGTTTACGCCATTTCTCCACCAAACAACTTCTCAGCCCCGCCTTCTCATCGTGCAGCCACGCCTCTATGGCTGCAGGCCCCTCTCCTTGTCGCTGTCGCCCCAGTGACCCTCGGAAGCTCCGCCTCAGCGTGCCTTCCAGAAAACTACCCCTCTTTCTTTCTGTGGATGGCGTGGCAGATGCAAAGCACTGTGCGAATTGCTGTACTCGAGCACGCAGGCGGTCCATAGGGAACACCTGTTCCAACTCAGGCAAGGCACTCTGGGGAGTGTAGTCTCCCAACAGATACTGAAGCCGAAGAGCAGCCAGAAATTGCAAAGTCTCTTCTGGAGCGGGATACTGACCTCTAATGACAGCTTCATGGGCCTGAGAGAGAAAGAGAAAGAGACATTGAAATTGCATCTGTGAAACACTGACAGCAAAGAAATCAGCCTAAAGATCTGTTAGATTCATTATTAAAAACTATGTACATGCATACTTAAAGGGTAGTTCACCCAAAAATGAAAAATCTGTCAGCATGAACTCACCCTGAAGTTATTCCAAGCCTGTATGAGTTTCTTTCTTCTGTTGAGCACAAAAGCTGCTCATCAGTTGACGGTAACCATTTACTTCCATAGTATGGAAAAAATACTATGGAAGTCAATGGCTACTGTGAACTTTTCTTCTGGAACTTTCTTCAAAATATCTTCTTTTGTGCTCAACAGAAGAAAGGGACTCATACAGGTTCAGAACAACTTGAAGGTGACTAACTGACAGAATTTTCATTTTTGGGTGAACTATACCTTTAAGTGTGTATTTCTGTGTAATGAACAGAATAGAACAGAATGCAGGGAACTCATGATACATTTTTTTTACAGTCATGATATTAATAAATATGGTGCTATAAATGTAAGATTCTAAAAACAGTGAGAAAACGCATTTGTTTGCATATGCACACGCATCAAAAATACAAATATAGTATTAGTGACTTTTAAAGCCACTTTTTGTCATTACTAAACATTTTTTCAGCTGACACAATGTAATGTATATGTGTATGTGATTAAACAATTAATATGATTAATTAAATGAATGCAATTTTAACTGATCGAAAGCCCTATTTTTATGTGATTTGAGGCCAGATCAAACCTGCTCAAACATGAATGCAAACTCCACACTGTCAGCAGGAACGCTCTCAGGCTCTGAGAAACAGAAGAGCTTGAA